ATTTATTTATTTATTTATTTTATTTGACATCAAGGTGTGCCTCCAAGCTTTCTTACTCGTTTTGCTAATAAACGTTCTACTTTTCTTATTTATTTGGTTATATATTATACATGGTTTACTTAGCCTATTTCCAGTTTTGTATACCTATTTAAACTTTATCAAAGTTATTTGTTATTTTATATTAGGCATAGCCTGCCCTATAGCATGGTGTATTTTTATTTGTTTTGTTAATAAAAGTTCTATGTTTTATATATACGCTAAAGTGAGTTTGACGTTGTATTTTGTTGTTGCATTCAAGCAATTGACGCCGAACTGCCGCTAATTCTAAAGTGAAAGTAAAATGCGCACGGTGCTTTTAAGCTATTTAAAAGCGAAGGAAAGCGAGGAAAAGAGGGAAAATTCAAACGAACAATTGCTTTACTCCGAATTGCCACTATTTGAAAGTGAAAGTAAAATGCGCACACTGCTTTTACAAGCTATTTAAAAGCAAAGGAAAGTGAGGAAAAGAGGGAACGCCCCCGCCCCGCAGTGATACCGGTATAACCGGTGTTGTCACACGTTGATTAACTGGTGGGAAAATTTTTAATCTAAGTTTAATCTTGAATCAAAGTTCGAATTTCCAGACTTCTCTCTGGTGACACATTCTCCTGTAATTTAATTTGCTTAAACTCCGCCCCTTTCTCACAATCCACTGTCAGCTCACATTCAGATCCACCTCTTTTGAGAGCCACGCCCACTTATCAACATCCAATCAACGACTGGTAGATAGAACCAAGTCCCCTGCCATACATTTTTTTTTTCTTTTCCAATAGCTTGTTTGCAATCACGTGATTCTGATGACGCTCGAAATTCAGATGGAGGGCAGGAAGTGAAAAGCAGAATGGATGAGATGGAGGAAAGTCTGTACTTTACTGGTTTAGACGCTATTACAAGAGAAAGGTATAAACAGAAAATCACAACATATGTTGGACGTGATCCTTATGTTATGAAGAGGAGCGATTTTTCATCTAAATTGAAATACTTGCCTGCCATCGAGGCGGTGGATATAGGCTAAGCAACTAACCCTGATTGCAAACAAGCTATTTCGAAAGTGGATCCCGCATTTATATGAAGGATGCGGGATATATGTCGCATATATGTGGCCGTTGGTCCTGTTAACAGCATGTAAAACAACTTTTATTCAAATTCTGAGCTGATTATAGCATAGAAAGCGAGCAAATAGCGCTTCCATATAATCAATAAAAAGCTGCCACTCACTTCAATTTATCTCAATCTCACAATGTTCCGTTATAATCAATGAAGCTCTCTAAACTGCACATATACATATGTGACCCTGGAGCACAAAAGCAGTGTTAAGTCGCTGGGGTATATTTGTAGCAATAGCCAAAAATACATTGTATGGGTCAAAATTATACATTTTTCTTTGATGCCAAAAATCATTAGGATATTAAGATCATGTTCCATGAAGATATTTTGCAAATTTCTTACTGTAAATATATCAAAACTTAATTTTTGATTAGTAATATGCATTGCTAAGAACTTCATTTGGACAAATTTAAAGGTGATTTTCTCAATATTTAGATTTTTTTGCACCCTCAGATTCCAGATTTTCAAATAGTTGTATCTCGGCCAAATATTGTCCTATCCTAACATACCATACATCAATGGAAAGATTATTTATTCAGCTTTCAGATGATGTATAAATCTCAATTTCGAAAAATTGACCCTTATGACTAGTTTTGTGGTCCAGGGTCACATCTTATTTACATCTTGACTATGTGTGGCATTTAGCTAGCATTGAGTGAATTCTGACTGTCTCATGCTGAATGCGAGAGAGTTGGCAGCCCTGTATCTATTTATATATTTCTTTATTAATATCTTAATATATTATTATATCTTATATTAACCATTTGCACACACGAGCATTATCCGACTCGGCTCCTCCCGACCGCAGACGCAGGTTTACAAGCCACTTTTTCTTGCATTTTTCAGTCAATTTCTTGCTTTTTCCCCCCTTATGAACAACAAATTTCCGTACACGACACAAGCTCCTTGTGGTTTCTCGGTTTGACTGATTTGAGCATCCATAAACAACCTATAATCCATTCACTCGGATGCATTCCACAATATGGATGAAAAGATATGTCACTACTTCTGGTTCATCGTGGCTTTAAATATGCTTTGATTTGCCGAGTTTTTCACACAGCATTTCATTTTACTTGTTAACTTGTCACGGTTCACCTGGTTAGGACAAAAATCAAGATCTAGTTTACTTCTAAGCACTAAAAAAAATATCTTACACAACCAATATCTGAAACAGAACTGATTATTTTTTTTTATATTTGATGCCACTCTCCTGGAAGCGTTTAGAAATGTTTACTGCATCCACCAGGTACCTTGTAAAACCACTGTATAAATTTGTTCATCTTGATCAGGAAGTAGCGTAACGGTTTACAACATTTACTGTTGTTCAGCAAATTTTTTTTTGTGAGGCGAAATCGGTCCTTGGTCCTACAGGAAGCTGCTTGGTTTGAAAGTGATTTCTGCGTGAGCTGTGTTTCATGTATCGTTACACTATTGACAATAAATCTGCAAAATTTCTTAAAGGGGTCATATGATGCTGCTAAAAAGAACATTATTTTGTGTATTTGGTGTAATGAAATGTGTTTATGCGGTTTAAAGTTAAAAAAACACATTATTTTCCACATACTGTACTGAATGTGCTCCTAAATTTTTTAAGTAGTAAGCGTAGAGCCCTGATTCTGTGTTATTGTTAAGCCCCACGAAAGCCACAAAAACATTATAAAGCACCATAA